TTAAAATAATTTTTGTCTTTTGTTATATGCAAAAACTAGATATATATAATCATGATTCATTGGTTTTCATTATAAGATTAATATTTTAAAAGCCAGCACTGTGATGTCAAGGTTATATTGTTTCAACCAAAGTTCCTCATCACGTTTAACACCCTTGAAATGTTGTTCAATAGAACCCGCAGAACACAGTATTCAATGTCAGGACGGCTGTGGTCAGAAACATGCATGAAACATGAAAATGATTCTGCTTTATTTTTTTCTGAGAGGAAACTCAGCTGAACGTGTTCTTGCATGCAATTGGACTTTTGCTAGAAAAATGAATTTTCGGTCAGTTGAGTCTTTGATACCCTTTGGCTTTCAGAATTGATAATGCATTTCCTACAATCCGAGAGGAGAGTCTGCTGGAGATCAGAGCCCTAATCTGTATTCAATAGGATGCCGCATCTAGAAAATAAACAAACACAAAGCTTATTATTTGACAGATTATTTGCTGAGAGCTGTTTATAATTGTGATGTTCGCTGCATCGTTTAATTTTTTCCTTCTAGTTGCCTCTTTGATGACACAGATGTTTGGTTTTATTCATCATTTTGTTCTCACTTTTTTCCCTCCCTTAATCGTATTTGTTTCTTGGGTGTTTTCCATTCCTGTTGGTCCAATGAAGGTCTCTTGAAAGGGAAAGGTATGGAAAGAGCGGCACTTTGGACTCGCTAATCATGATCTAAAGCTTTATTTTGTTGCTTTGAGCTTTTGATTTTAATCGATTAACACATCCTTCTCCATTAGCGTTGATTGATGATTGAAAGCATAACATTTATTGGTAACTCATATACTTTCCTGTCATTCTAACATGAGTGATTTTCAAAGTGTGACTGTTTACTAAGTAAATGCATTAACTAAATTTATTGCTTTTAGTGTAGTGTGTTTAATGCAATTAAAAATAGAGCAAGACTAGTAGTATTGCACTGTAAAACCCAAGAGTCAACTTTATCGAATGAAATGAGTGTAGTTAACTCAAAATTTACAGAAAGTTAATTCTACTCATTAGAAAAGAGTTTTGAACTCAGTGTTGAAGTTAATTGAATACCTTATTACTTTAACCTAAATGAAGTAAGTTCACAGTTCTCACATAGATTAGTTTTTTATTAACTTAAATTGTTTGTAGCAATCGGTTTCCTCAAACGGTTTGATTTGCCTTAACTTATTGAGTTTTCCAGAACTCACTTGATTTGTGTTCTCTTCATTTATTGGGTTTTATTGTGCTTAAAATGCTTCGTTTACTCAGATGGAATAAGTTCCCAGTACTCATTGGGATTAGTTTTTAAACTCGTTGTTTGTAGCAATCGGTTTCCTCAAATGAATTGAGTTACCTTAACTTTTTGGGTTTTCCAGTGTATCATTGTAGTTTTTATTACCAGTTTGAATTAGACTTTATTTTTAGTTTATTTTCTTTTTTTTTTAAGGCAAGGTTTGAAAAAAATGTTGTGTTCTTGTCAGCTTTTGTTTTATTAGTATGACCATAGAGATTGAATTAATTTGTGTTTAAGATTTTTATTTTTATTAAATACATCAAGTTAAGCTGAATGGAAATAACAAAAATAGAAATATTTTATTTTTATTTAGAATAAAAGAAAATGTGTATTTATTATTTTTGTTAATATATTAGTGCATTTCTATTCTATTTGTATTTATATTACATTTGTTTTATATGTTTTACTTTGTCTGACAGGCATATATGGTTCAAGTCAGAATTATTAGCCCCCCTTTGAATTTTTTTCGCTTTTGAAATATTTCCCAAATGATGTGTAACAGAGCAAGGAAATTTTCACAATATTTCCAATAATATTTTTTCTACTGTAGAAAGTCTTATTTGTTTTATTTCGGCTAGAACAAAGGCAGTTTTAAATTTTTTTAAATACAATTTTAAGGTCAAAATTATATCCACTGTTATACAATGTTTTGCCTAATTATCCTATCTTGCCTAGTTAATCTGATTAACCAAGTTAAGCCTTTAAATGTCACTTTAAGCTGTATTGAAGTGTCTTGAAAAATATCTACTAAAATATTATTTACTGCCATTATGGCAAAGATAAATTAAATCAGGTATTAGAAATTAGTTATTAAAACCATTATGTTTAGAAATTTGTTGAAAAAAATCTTCTCTCCGTTAAACAGAAATTGGGGGAAAAATAACCAGGGGATATATAATTCAGGGGAGCTAACAATTCTATCTTCAACTGTGTATATTTTTTGTTTATTAATAAATTTCTGTTATTCTCTAATATGTTTTTTTTTAACTTTACCATTATAATTAATTTGGTTTAATATAGTTTAACTACAGTAGGTAATAATAAAATACTACACAATGTACTAATTTGAATTATTATTTGTTTATAAACAAATATTAATAAAGGGTAATGCTGTAAAAAAAAAAGTCTAAACACTGTAAAAATATATATTTCTCACTTTTATTGCTACTTATGTTAGCAAATAAGACCTTATTGTACAGTGTAACCACATAATAAATTTAAATAAATAAATATAAACAAATTATTTAGTATAAAACAAACCCTCATTAAAATGAAGGTGTGCATTATGTCTTCACTGGTTTCCCAAATTCTGTCAAAAATGATGTGCAAAATATAATACAGGTTGCTTTCTCTCATTAAAAAATAGTTTTGTGTCACTTTCTAAGGTAATAAGAATGTGCGAGAGTGTGAGGACTGATCGATTGAATCAAAAACACATTCTTATGATGATTCCCTGAACTCTTGCTGGTGCACAGAGTTCCTTTGGTGAAAAAAGCAAGATTTTTTTTAATGTGCGTTATTGACTCTAAAGATAATAACTAAATGGCCATGAATTTCCAGTTGTCATGCGCATGCAGAGAACCGTATCATAATAATATCATACTAATAATGTAATGTACACATGTCTGATGCAGAACCTCTTCTTGTTTATAGAGTTGGTAAAAGCATTTTTATGACCCGCAGAAATGAATAAAACCATGGAGCCTGGTTGTAAACCATGTTTTGTGAGCAGACAAAGTGCATTATTTACAATATTTCGATTTAACATCGCATCTGTAAAGCAGTTTACAATAAGGTCCATAGGTATTACATGAAATTAAAGAAGGACCTCAGTGTGAAGTCAGCAATTTTGAAGATTTGATAAGTGTTGCATTGATTTTTTTTATTTTTTTTCCGTTTTTCTGATGCTTCTGGGTTGATGTAGGTCCCAGATCATAATGCATGACACTTCAGAAGTCCAGTTTAATAGCGGAGGCATGTGTTTGATTAATGATCTACCTGTGATAATATATTACAACTATCAACCATTTATAGCCATGACATTACTTATAGGATACAGAGAGCCGTGGAGCTGTAAGTTTGTCTTTGTCTTTAGTATTAAATTTCACCTAAGGGTTTTCTTTTCTTTTTGATGCTTCTCAAGAGTCAGATGCAGTTTTTTGTTCAGCATGGTTAACCTGAAAAAGCAAAAGACTCCACGTATCATGTAGAAGTTTGCCATTGTAATGCTGTTTATTGGGTTTCTTCTCCTTTCAAAGTGTCAAATGCATTGAATCACTTCAGCAGATTTCAGTATTTGTTAACAGCTTTATTTATCTTACCTTATGCTAGTTATTTAGCAAAAAAAGCTAAATCAGTACTACTTGTTAGGATTGCAATTAATATCTATTACATTTACAGCCATTTTTTTATATTTTGTTCACCTTTGGAGCCAATCATTTCCGCAGTAAACGCCATGTGACTGATAACTCTCTAGAGTCATAGGACAATTATCAAATTATATAAATCTGTGTAAATATATAAATGTCCTGAATGTAGGAAATAGATACACTGCTATTCAGAAGTTTGCAAACAGAATAAAGTTTAGATTTTTTCAAGCAAGGATGGAATAAATAGATCAAGCACAACAACTTTGAACAATATTTATGTAAAAAATATAACTATAATAAAAGATAACAATATATATATATATATATATATATATATATATATATATATATATATATATATATATATATATATATATATATATATATATATATATATATTTATTTATACTTAAAACTGGAATAAATGTATTGTTACTATAACAAGAATAAATAATATAAAAAAATACTGAAATAATTTAATTTGGCTGTAAAATATATTTTTGTTTATTTTAAATGATAATAATATTGAATATTAATATTTATTATTTAATAATATTAAATATTTCAGTTTTTACTGTATTTTTTCTTACAAATAAATGCAGCCTTGGTTAACGCAATAACTTAAACAAATTAGTTAATATAATATAATATAATATAATATAATATAATATAATATAATATAATGTAATATGATATAATATAGGTGATGCAGTGGCGCAGTACGTAGTACTGTCGCCTCTCAGCAAGAAGGTCGCTGGTTTGAGCCTCGCTTGGGTCAGTTGGTGTTTCTTTGTGGAGTTTACATGTTCTCTGTGCTCGCGTGGGTTTTTCTCTGGATCCTCCAGTTTCTCCCACAAGTCCAAAGACATTAAAATTGCTAAAATTGTCCGGAGTGTATGTGTGTGAATGGGAGTATATGGGTGTTTCCCAGAGATGGGTTGCAGCTGGACGGGCATCTGCTGCGTAAAACATGTGCTGGATAAGTTTTTGGCACATTCCGCTGTGGCGACCCTAGATTAATAAAGGGACTAAGCCGAAAAGAAAATGAATGAATATAATATAATATAATATAATATAATATAATATAATATAATATAATATAATATAATATAATATAATATAATACATAGACCCAGAAAATAAATCGTATTTTTACAATGTACTCTATTAAATGACTGTTAAGGGTAAAGCATGCTTTTTACAACCGGACGATGTACTGTAGTTACATTGTCAACCAGCAGGTGCAAACTGCGCAATGCTAACCAGCCAAACCTTAAGACCCTTTGTCATTTATACAAACTCTTATTCTCTTCCTCCCAACAGCAGCGACGAAGACAACAAGCCGTTACAGGGCAGCCAAACGTCCCTGGACGGGAACGTTAAAGAAAGCGATGACAGTCTCGTGGACTACGGCGAAGGAGGAGATGGACAATTCAACGAGGATGGTTCCTTCATCGGCCAATACACAGTAAAGAAGGACAAAGAGGAGACAGAAGGAAATGAGAGCTCAGAAGCCACATCACCTGTCAATGCCATCTACTCTTTGGCATAGCACCTCCACCTGGGCACGGCGCCCCCCAGCGGGCCGGAGGGTGCCATTACACGCATAGAAAATAAATATATATACACAGAGAATTACGAGTATTCACATAGAACGCACTGGAGTGCATGATCCTACTGAACAAGGGATGGGGAGCTAAAATGGCGTCCAGAAACCTTTGTTTGAGGCATCCCCATGCCCCACACAGACTTTAGTGTGCCTTTAGGGCGATGGGGCGAACTTTTTGAGCTTTTCGTGTGGCTTACGCTCTTCTTTTTTATTTTGGAAATCTGCCTTTTCCTCTTCTTCCTCCTACTGTAGCTACTAGCATCAAAGAAATGGATATACAAGCACCAGACCTGTGACATATCAACTGTGGGTCGACTCAATTGCAGAGCGTCGGCAGATAGGTTTATCATATTGATATTTCCGCAGTGAATGATCCCTTTATTTGTTTTCGACACTAAAATTGATTTATCCCCCCCCAGAAAAAAACAAACAAACAAATGAAATTCGTATAGCGTGCTGGCACAGTTTACTGTGCTTTGTAAAACTATGCACTATGTATTATTGTTATTATGATTTGGGGTTATAATTGGGCGTTAGAATCTTCATCATTTTGTTTTTTCACGAAAACTTATTTAGTCCTAGATTTATTCTTATATGTGCTACAGGACTGATATCATGCTTTCATCTGCCATTGCTTTGTTAATATATTTTCACTGGCTGCAACTGTAAAATGCCACCAATATTTATAGGCTGAGGTTAGACGGCGCCACTTGTAAATCAAAAAAAAAAAATCTTTATTTTGAAGCATGGTAGTATTTTAGCGCAAAGGACAATGGAGAGGTTGTAATACGAAGAGTTAAAAACAATAATATATTCCTTTTTTATAAGATACTTGCTTTATATAGTCCTCAAAAGAGAATGATGATAATAATAATGATGATGATGATGATGAAATCACTTTTTTCTTTATTCATTTTTTAAATCAGCTGGGTGAAGATTTCGGTGTCAGAATAAGTTTGTAAAGGGAGTCTACAAAAGTTTGGGGTGCATCAATACATCTTTGGGTTATTCCTTGGGAATTTCTAGATATGAATAACTCATTAGGCAAAGATAAGTGTATATATTGTTTGGGGTTGATCCAGTGTTGCGGCTGAGACACTGCCCTGAAGACATGCCACTGTAACTGTAGTTTGTCTCTACCTGTGCTCCAAAATGATTGCCATTACTTTATCTTCAGCACTGCTATGTATAGTTGGGTTCAAAAGTCTGAGGCCACTTTGAAAGTCTGAAAAGCTTTTCTATTTGCGCCTGGAAATGAGTTACATTTGACGATTTTGGAAAATATTAAGAACTCATAAAATTATTTAAAGCCTTTTGTTACTCATTACAGATGGTAAGATGTTCTTCTTTCCTTTGATCATCAATCTCTTTTGCACCAATAACTAATAATCATATTTAGGTGAAAACAAGGTTGTGAGTGATATTTATGGTACACTTGACAAAAATACCGTTCAGAAAACCTTTACAATTAGTTACTTTACTTTCAAAAGTGAGCAAATCCATTGCTCTAAAGGGACGAGTTGACTTTATTTAAATAAAGTGAGAAAAACCATTGGAACTTGAAATGTGCACTGTAAAACATGTAGCATTCCACACAAGTATTTCATATTGTTACAACACTAATCAATAAGTTAACCTAATAGTTTTTAAAAATGTATTTGGTTTCAACATAACACATTTAGGTTTTCCCACAACTTTAGAATTGTGTCTTTTCAATCCATTTTAAATTAGTTTGAACAAGCAGCAAAAAGTACACTGAAAAAAACTGATTTAAAGATGATTCTTTGGATTTGCAATTTTGTTTTAAAGTTACAGTTAGTTGTAATAAAACAAATAAACAATTTTTTTGGAATGAATTTAAACAAACTAATTAGGGTGAACATTATTATATTATTGTATATAATTTTATTTGTGTGTTTAGATTGAACATGCAAATTGTTTGCAACAATTTTGCAGGCATCATTTTTTTCAGTGTATTTATTTTGAGTGTGGATTTTTATATGTACGCACAGTTATTTAACTTAAAAAAGTGAGTTAACATGTTAACTTAAGTTAAATTATTAAGTATAGTCAACTAATAGTTTTTTACAGTGTGAAAAATAATGTGATCTTGGACATTATCACAATGCGTTGTATTGTAACGACTGTAAGTCTGTTCTTCAAAGCCTTGTTTTCATTCGTGTTTATTTTGTCGTCTGCAACTAACGTTGTAGATTCTGATTAGCTGTCAATGATTTAATTATTAATTAGCTGAAAAAGTTATCCTTATTTATCATTTACAGCTATGGAGTGGCCTTTGCTATTCTTGAACATTTACATAAAAAAAACTATGTATTTATTGTTCATTGGCCTCAAGTTTGTTCAAACAAAAGCGCAACAAACCAAATATGAAGATGTTCTAACACTGAAACTATTTTAATCTCATTTGTATTGAAAAGTGCTGTATAAAATGACAAAACAACACAACATTTCACTGGTGATCTCAAACTTTTGGATGCCTCTACGTATTTTCTTGATTTTATTTATAAAAAAAAAACAATAGGGACTAATATATTAATAATTTATTGATGACTGCACAATGCCTACTCAAAAGTCTTTTAGCACATTATAAAAGCTTCTCTGTGTAATTTAGGATGAAAATGTGCTTTACTGATGGAGAACCATGTTTGTGGCGATGTAAAATAATGAAATGTGATGTCACCATTAAAGGGAGAGTACGTCTTATTCGTTTATTGTGCTGCTCTTTTTAGTATTAATGTCGTATCACACTGCTGTTGTGTTAACATATTAGAGTTTATTTAACAATTTCTACATAACATGAAATGGAAATATTGTGTATTTATTTAGTTTTATTTCTGTTCCTCAAATAAGGCCTCGTTGTGTAAATATTGTTTAAGTGAATAATTCATAATAAAAATGCTTTTTGGTGCATCCCAAAATAGAGGACTCCATGCACAGTTGTGGATTCGGGATCAGCCAGTGGTTTTTGTGGGGGTTTGAATTTGTGTCTTACCATTTTAATCGTGACATAATTTGTCACCCACGTCCTGATTTCGCCTGACTGAAGATGTAAATAGCAAAAAAAAAAAAAAAGCTGTAGAGTTGTACCATTGTAGCATTCTGCACTGAGGATGATACTTTTTGTAAACAACATTTGAATTGTGTTATGCAAGAGAAAATGGTTTGTAATTTTTGTTCTTGTACCACTGCACCAAACACTGTAAAAAACAATTAGTTACTTTAAAGAGTGAGTAAACCAGTTGTAATTTGGAAGCTCTGTAAAAAAATGCTGTGTTCCACCTAATTCTTTTATGTTGTCCCAACTTATATCGATTAAGTTAACTTAATTGTTTTTACAAATTTATTAATTTGTTCCCCAAAAAACTCAATAATTGTGTTGATTCATCTCACTTTAAATAAGTACTTTGAACAAGGAGCCAAACAGATTTTTGAGTGAGTGTTGTTGACTAAATATTTAAAATAAGCATATAGTTAATTTACTTAAAGTGAAATAAAAATGTGCAATGTTTATTTTTAGTCATAATTTGTATTGAAATGTGAGCAACTTTAAAAGGTGAGCAAACCAGCTACAAATTGGAATTGTTAAGTTGACTTAATATTTATGATTATACTAACGCAATCTCACGGCAATTCGTAACGTTTTGATTTAATGACTAATTCGTATGGATTTGTACGATCTAATTTGTACAATTTGGTACGATTTGCTCATCATTCAATGACGGTTGGGTTTAAAGGTTGGGGTTTGATGCCACGCCTACTTTTTAAAATCGTACATTTTTGTACGATTGTACTAATTCTTACGAATTAGCCACTAAACTTACAAAAAGTAAAATACTTACATTTTCTCATGAGATCAGGCCGGATTATATTGTATATTATTATACACAAAGCATGTTTGCCTAATGTAACATTAAAATTTACAATGTTTATTTTTCTATTGTAATTTTTCTGTCACATTGTTATTCTTTAGGTGAACAAATAATCCTTGAACAAATTAATGAAAGTAAAAAAAATAATGTTTCGGCAAATGTTGGCCATTTGCCTACAAACTGAAGTGGTGGTCAGTTTGATGGCTACAATATAATATATTGTTCTGTTAGTTTGCTATGAGGAAATGCTCAAAAAGAAAGCCCCCAGCCCTCAATATTCTGTTTGAGCTGGAAGTGCGTCACCATACTGAAATAAAGTTCACATATACTTTTTAAGGCTTTTTCATTTTAAGGCTCACTTTTTTAAGGTAAAGTCAACTAATCATTTTAAAACCAACAGGTTTACTCATTTTTACTTAGTAAAGCCAACTAATCACTTTTTACAGTGTAGACTCCCATATTGCCTTTCTCCTGTGACACGACCAGGCTGATCATGCTCTTTACAAGGGCTAAATATCAGGTCGTGACTTCCTGATAGGAATTCGATGTCCTTTATGATGCCTTCGTATTGTAAGTCGTGTTCACGAAACTCATTGAGTCCATTAGATCTGCTTTTTTTTCTCCAAACCTCAAAGCAATAGTCTCCTCGTTTGCCTTTCACTGTTTTACTCTGTACAGTAGGCCTTGCTTTTGTTTGACTTATACTTGAACAGATAACTTCTGTAGATCACGGTAAGGTAAAGTCAAGGTATAATCGAAACTCGTCTTGACCATATTTTCTCCAACCTTGCCTTGTGTTTCAGCAGCCACTTTTCCCGTCTTTGCGTATTGTTCCTTCGTCCATAAGCTGTAGTGAACTGGCGATGTTCCTAAAATATATATCTACAGTATATATTTGTCAATATATTGCTTATTCTGTCTTTTTCCTGCCAATGTCAGATCATTTTGTGTACTTGTTAACCGGTAACATGCATAATCTAGTAAAAATCCTTAAAACGGAGAGGAGAATAACCACCACAGCTGTTCCCTTTTGATTTTTTAGAGCAAAATCAT